TAACTACAATCCAATTCTTCGCTTGCGCGATGCGAGAAAACCTGTTTAACCGGTACTCTAGAGTACAAATAGCGCGTGATATTTGTACTGGTCTATGGCGTTATTTGTACTCAAAGAAGTGTAGTTGGATAATAAGATTCATTATTTTTACATGCAATAGAATATTATCATCTGCTGGACAAAGCTTATGTTGATTTGAATTTTCATCCATTTTTCTAGGAAGAATACGAGCGTTTGCAACAAGAAAATCGCCAGCGCCAGAAGGAAGTAAGACATTTTGAACCAGTGTCAGTATCTGATAAACTGCACACCTACCCCTCCCTTGACCAACGACAGTCAAATAATAACGAGTTAGGACTAATGTCTGTTAAGGGAGGGGTGGGTGCGCAGTTGCTGAGACACTGACATTAATCCCACATCAAAAATAATCTACCATCGTCAAATCCACCATTTGACGATTTCCAGTTTTCCAGATCACAAAAAGTGAACGAAAAGGACCACTGAATTCTGTTGCTGAGTTATGCTGACTACGACGGAAGCGCTGAATAGTCACACCTTTGTTCCAAAGAATAGAAACACACGAATTTCATGGCGACCAATTATAGCCAATTCCAAAGAAAGACATAGAAAACTAAGCCTTTAATAAAAGCGTAAGCAAAACTCACTCCAGGTTATTTAAGCAACTTCCATTTTGGTAGCAGAGAAGGTGATCACTCGAGGTACCCGAGGCGGCATCTTGTCTGAATGAGTCCTGGTGCTGGGGCCTTCCTCTCTGCCAGCTCCTTCTCTCTTCATTTTGTGATGTGCCAAATTAAATTCCATAATTTCTATGTTATAAGAATATTACCTCATAAAAACCTTGTCATTTACAATTACCTTAAAAAATGTATCTTTAGTTGATTCACACCAGCAAGAATAGATCTTATTTTAGTTTTTCTCACCAGAAATTCATTCTGAGCGACTGAGACATTTAATGATTTTTGCACAAATGCAGAAATCAAATGAAGGCACGGAGAAGACATTGAAAAGCTTGAGACAACAGCTGCTACTCAATCACAGCGGACAACAGGAAGTTGAAAACCCGGCACTCTTTGACTGAGCGCTGCAGATGTAACCGGTCTTGGGCGGGTTCCCTAGCACCCTATCAAAGTGTAGCGTCATGTAAGGCCTTTAAAGTTGTTCCTTATCAAGAACATTGGTACGACTTTTAAGTGGTTGCATTCTATCTGTGTCTAGATTAATGCTATTTGCAAAGAATTAACCACCTAAAAGTTATATCATCCGTTTTATGTCAATGGACATGTTCTTGATTGTATATAAACTGAAACTTGTATGTTGTCCATAATACCAATCTGAAAAAAGACCTTACTCGTTTCTTCTAATTACTAACTAGTACGCGCAAACAAAATTCCCTTCCGGAGAAATTTAGCCCGAAACCTAGGCTACTGTAGACTCTGTGCGCAAGGGATGTGATAGATGTTTGGGATATTCTTTAGTGGCGCACAAGCGAAAAAAAAAGGGAGACAAAGATCGAGAGGTGAGAGACTTCTTACAATCTTTTGACAGCCTCTCTCTTCCTCTCACTCTCTTTTGCCTTTTTTGTTTGTTTCTTCCCCTCAAAACTAGATGTAATTAATAGCACAGCAATAAAGAGGAGAGGATACTAAGGTGACTCTTAGTGCCTCCTGATCGAATAGTTCATCGGAGGAAAATTAAAGGGTGGATGGGCGGCTGGTGGAATGAAATACCAAAAGCTTATTTAAAGGCAAAACACAAAGCAAAAAACAAACAACAGGAAAACATCAAAAAGAACATTACAAAGGTCGGTCAGTTGGTCGAACGCAAAAGACGTATATATTCCACATCTCAGGCCGTCAGATTCTGCTATGACTTGAAGGGAAATGAAGCAAATATAAAACCACGAAAATTAACCAGTTTTTTCTCACACCCTAAAGGTACCCATGTCGAGCAATAGTTCTCTTAAATTCAAAATCTGGGCACAAATATTCCTCAGCGCGCAATGCATTCAGCTGTAAAATAACTTCAACAAGTAATTTCAATAAATGTGATTTAGGTTCCGAGCAACAAGGATAGAGGTCGTATCCATTGTCCTTGTCAAACACTCTCATACCAGCTGAACTTTCTTTAGCAATTGAGACAATGTTCTTTAATAATCATTAAAAGTTAGAGTCCAATACTGAAAACATTTATTAAAACAAGCCAAGCTAAATTTCTATTTACAAAAACAAGCATTTAAGCCTGTAACACTGTGTATCGACTTTAACTCTTCTGATCACGAACGATTTTGTAACAATTTTCAGTTTCAAGCATCGGCAATGTAAGGAATAAAAAGAAGCCTACTTGACTGCACAACGCTGTCTGTGAACTGACCTATGCTCACAAAAATCTTCTTCCGCTCTTTTCTCTCAAAGTCTGCTTTTCTTGTGAAGAATGAAAAATGGGTTCTCGGTAAGAAGGGTTAGCTCCCTCCAATGTTTCAGCTCTCCCAGTTTAGACCGTCTCCAAAACAAGAGAGTTTTAGTACAGACTACTCTACGCGAAATTCTTTCTTCGCGCCAAAGGTCATATGTAGGATCAATGCTCCTTTTTATCAAATTAATGACCTAACAGATTCTTTTTGCGTTCTGATGGACCTGAAAAAACTCACAACTAAGTTGAACAGTTAAAAAGCCAATCAGACAGAAGAGTGACCAAATTACATTATATTGACAATCTCAATAGAGAGCATTGTTTACACAGTATTCTGATTTGCTTGTCACGCAGATCTCAGATTAAATCTTTGTTAGCTCGCTGCCACGACACACGACTTAAGAAGAGCCAAGTTATTCTAAATTACTACTCTGCTCATTACTCGCCAAATTAGTGCCATGGAAACCTTTTTTTCAAGCGCTCACTCTACATGATTATCATCACCTTCATCGTCATCATTATCCTCCTCCTCCTGCTCATCATCCTTATCATCCTTAGTTATCATCCTTATCATCTTCATCATCGTCATCCTCCTCCTCACCATCGTGAAAGTCATCATTAACCTCATCCTCATCAATCCCCATCATCCTCATCATCCTCATCATCCTCATCTATCCTCAACCTAATCATCCTTCATCATCACCATCATTCCTCAACCTCCCTCATCCTCCCTCATCATCATCATTCCTCATCATCCTCATCATCCTCATTAATCCTCATCCTCCCTCATCATCATCATCATTCCTCATCATCCTCATCATCCTACCCCTCATCATCCTCATCATTCCTCATCCTCATCATCATCCCTCATCATCATCATCATTCCTCATCATCCTCATCATCCTAACCCTCATCATCCTCATCATTCCTCATCCTCATCATCATCCCTCATCATCATCATTCCTCATCATCCTCATCCTCATCATTCTCATTATCCTCATCGTCATCATTCTCATCATCCTCGTCATTCCTCATCATTCTCATCATCCTCATCATCCCTCATTATCATTATCATTCTTCATCATCCTCATCATTCCTCATCATCCTCATCATCCCTCATTATCCTCATCATTCCTCATCATCCTCATCATTCCTCATCATCCCTCATTATCCTCATCATCCCTCATCATCATCATCATTCCTTATTATCCTCATCATTCCTCATCCTCATCATCATGCCTCATCATCATCATTCCTCATCATCCTCATCCTCATCATTCTCATTATCCTCATCGTCATCATTCTCATCATCCTCGTCATTCTCATCATTTCTCATCATCCTCATCATTTCTCATCATCCTCATCATCCCTCATTATCCTCATCATCCCTCATCATCCTCATCATTCCTCATTATCCTCATCATTCCTTATTATCCTCATCCTCATCATCCCTCATCGTCCTCATCATTCCTCATCATCCTCATCATCCTCATCATTCCTCATCATCCTCATCATCCCTCATCATCCTCATCATTCCTTATTATCCTCATCATTCCTCATCATCCTCATCATTTCTCATCATCCTCATCATTTCTCATCATCTTCATCACTCCTTATCATCCTTATCATCCTCATCATCCGTCATCCACAGCTACCTCATCATCCTCATCATCCCATCCTTATCCCTATACTTAGCAACCACATCATCATCCTCCTCCTCATCATCATCCTCATCATCATCTGGCTCTTTTCTGAACCTTTTTCCTCTTTTTTTCATCTCAGCTTTTGTCCGAAGTCGGTGGATGGACCCCACAGTTGCAAATTCCCAATTCTCGTAACTACTGTGGTTGGCGTGTTTTCTGGGGGTACGGTTTCCGATCTCATAAAGGCGAGGAGTGCTGGCTCATTTCATGAACATCGGATGGTAATGGAGCCTATGGTTTGTTCCGCTACAGGAAAAAAAAGATGTATATATAAAAAAAATAAGAAGAATGCTGCTTTGATCTGTGAACAGTGAAATTATTCAATGAACAACTTTCTCTTCAGAAAATCATTCAGGAAACCCTTTAATCTTATAGTAAATATGTAACACTTCATTCAGTCCGCTTGAGACTTTCATACTGGAGGATCCGAAGAAGTTACAAATTGAAGTCCTCAGTGACAAATACCTTCACACTTCGAGCGCTTTATGCCCTGATCCACTGACTCGCTTGATGACTTCCTTTTGCCGCCTTTCAAAAATACGAAAAGTGATTAAACGCGAGAGACATCAAGTCGGTAAAAAACATCACCAAATAGATCCAATTATGAGATACGATAAATATATGAAGATCATATATTTTGAACTGCGGTATTAAATACGTATGATGCACGATCCTCGCAGTAGATTGCGCTATTTAAGCAATAGCGAAAATTAGACCTGAAAAAAATCAGGCCTGTACGGGACTCGAACCACTGACCTCTGCGATACTAGTGCAGCGCTCTACCAATTGAGCTAACAAGCCAACTGGGAGCAGGCCGTTAAGTTGATTCGTAATAAACCCGTGAAAGTGATAAATGAGATACAATGAATATATGAAGTTCATATATTTTGAACTGCGGTATTAGATACGTATGATGCACGATCCTCGCAGTAGATAGCGCTATTTA